ATATATAAAGTTTATTAATAACCTCTGAGATGGAGAGAGAGCGAGACGGGCATTCCCGACAGGGCTCTCATGCCATGACTCACCAGCCAGGACCGAGGGCGTGCGTGCCCGGCATGTGAGCCCAGGACCTCCCCACATGGCTTCGCACCACGGAGCGGCATGTCACCACTGCGCTAACAGGTGGCCTCTGCACACACCTCCCGGGAGCTCCCCTCTGAGCTCCCGCAGAGCTCCTGGCCTGAGCTGAGCATCGCCTGCAGCGCTCCTGAGCCCCGGGAGAGGGACACTCATCATTCCCTTCCTATAGACGGTTACCTGAGCCCAGGGAGAGGAAAGGACTCGCCCCAGCCCCTCCCTCCTGGCGCTGGTGGCCAGGGAGGCCGTGGGCCAGGCTGTGTGTCCGTTTTCCAGGTGGTCTTTGTGCTGACGGGGGACTGTGGTGACCGCACCCATCCTGGCTACCTGGCCTACGAGGAGATTGCGGCCACCAGCTCTGGGCAGGTGTTCCATCTGGACAAGCAGCAAGTGACGGAGGTGAGCCCCGGCAGGCCTTGAGCATCCTGGTCTCTGAGTGGCTTTGCCCAGTGGGTCAACAGCAATCCCGGTCAAGCAGCACCGAGTGCCCACCGCAGGGCGTCCTGTGCTCAGGGCATTATGACATCGTCTGGCCCAACCCGCCCAGCCACCCAAACGGCGGCTATTTTGAGTTTTCCAGGCAGGAATTCTGCAGTAAAAAGACCGAGGCTGCGAACAGCACCGAGGTGTTGGCCTGGGGCCCACAGCTAGCCTGGGCTGGCAGGATGGACCAGTGGAGTTTGCTGAAGAGTGGGTGTGGGGTTTCTCCGAGCTTCTCCCAGAGTCAGGGGATCCAGGTGGGAGGAAGAGCAGAGGCGCCATCAGTTCAGGCCACGCTGCTGGGAGCTTGGCTGAGGGGCCATGGTCTGGATTCTCTCAGAGCCCGGTGCCACGGGAGTCTGTCTCTGGCCCTGCTTCTGGAGGAGGTGTGTGCCCTCGGCCCCCTCCAGGCCCCACGGCATTGACCCTGCTGCGTCTCTGCCCTACACCTCCACTCCTCCCCAGCACCTGGAGCGGTCCTCCCCGCTGTAAATGGCTGTAAATGGTGAGCAGCGTCACTCAGGAAAGAGCGAGGACGCCCATGGCCTTGGTGTAAACATTCCTGCCCCAGCTGATGTCAGGCTGCACCGTGAAGTTACTGCAGAGTTGGGAAGTGACGCGGGCAGCAGGTTTTCTTGGGGAGCTGGCTGTGGTAGACCTTGAGATCTCCTTAAGCAAATCTGAGCAGCAGACCACTCCCATCATCCCCTCTGCCTCCCTGGTCTCACTGCCCCATTGCCCCTCACCCACTACTCGGCCTTGCCGGCCTCAGGGCTCTTTCCTTGCCGGCCCATACTCTTCCTCACTCCAGGCCCTTTGCTCATGGGGCTTGTTCTTCCGGCCCCTCTTCCCCCGGTGCCTTCTCACCCTCAGGTTTAGCTGAAATGCACCTCCTCACGGAGGCCTTCCTTGATTTCCTGTCCAGACTGTCTTCTGAAATACCAGCTCTCAACCAGGGTGGTGTCACATCGTTGTAAGGTTATAATTTAATGTCACTGTGGAGGCGCTGAGCTCCCTGAGGGCTGAGCTGGTGGGTCCCTGTGCTGAGTTACATGCTTGTAATTTTATAATTGTGTGATTATTATGTCACGTGGCTGTGCTCTCTGGAGGCTGGGCCTGCTGGGCCCGGCTCGTCACCACCTCCCCAGCACCTTGATTTACCAGTGCGAAGGAGGCGCTGGGGAAACAGCCAGTGGAGGGGTTGACGCAGGGTCCCTCAGGCCTGAGGCCCTGGGAGGAGGGAGGGAGAGATCCATCACCCCTGAGGCCGTGGCCTGGAGCCAGCCCCGCTGTCGCCTTGGGGAGAGGATTCTGTGTATTGTGTATTTATGAACTACAGAGAACGGTCTCCAGGGCCATGTTTAGATTAGCGTGCCTTAGCTCCCTGCTGACAGATGGCGTTTATGGTTCCCTGCGACACATTGGGCTCTAATTTTTGGCACGTCAGCACACCCTGGCACTGAGCCCCCCAACGAGGGCAGGAGGCACTTCAGAGTGGTTAGATAGCTTGGCCCCTGCTTTGGGGGAGATCTGGGTTCCTGCCAGGGGCCAATCAAACGCAGGGCAGTGGGCAGGTCAGTGGAGGAGGCATGCCCAGGTGTGGGGCTGGGCCCCGCTGCTCTCCCTTGAGGCAAGAGACCTGGGTGTCCGGCTGGCTGGGCCGCAGGTGTCTGACTCAGGGACTCGGATGCTAGGACTAGCTGCTTTGGGGTAGGGGCCCGGGTCCCTCCCCTTCCTGAACATGGAGCCTTGTCATTCAGCAGCTTAAAGCCTTGGACCTGGCCCCTTCCAGATGTTCCCAGATGTTCGGCAAGCCTGGGAAAGCGGCTGGCAGTCAGGGCTGTGTTTCTCCCACTGGAGGGGCTGATAGTGTCTGCCTGAGCCAAGGGGGTCCCAGCTGGGAGGGGGACCCTCAGAAGCCCCCCAACCCTGCAGGTGCAGCTGGTCCTTACACCTCGTTCTGCACGCTCCCTGCCCTCCTGTGCTGAGCACGAGTGCCAGGGACCACGCAGGTGCTCCGCGGAGCGGCACTTGGTCGCACTCCAGTCCGGCCGCTTCTGAGCATCTAGCTCTTTCCAGCGGTGAGGTTGGCTTCCCCAGTGCCAAGGGCCCTCTTCGGAGTTCGAGGGTAACTCAAAGAAGGCGATGATTCCCTTCTCCTGGCAGGGGAAACTCGCAACTTCTACCATCCTTAAATAGACAGGGGACAGTGTCACAGGCCATCAACGTAGCCTCGAGCCTGTCCCAAAGGCGCGCATTATTTACCAAGATTTAGACGAGGTTGGTCCCCTTGCCCCAGTGAAGCCTCCTGCAGGGCCCCTCACCTCCACGTGCTGCCACCAGCTCCAGGGGTGTGGGGCGGGGTCGGGAAGGGGCTGCATGTCCTGCAGCCCCACAACTTTTCGCAGGGAGGACACAGGGTCTCTTGCTCTCTGTCTCCCCCAACTCACTCCAACACACACACACCACACATAACAGACCTAACAGCCAGGTCTGGGGCGAGGCTGCACCAGGTCCAGCGCCAGCAGGTACCAATGGCAAAGTGTCCAGATTTGCACAACCAGGGAAAAGTGACCCACGTTCCAGACAGTGAGGGGCGGGCAGGGGAGGTTCTGGCCAAGTGGTTCTGATTAACGGACCAGGGAGGGCCCGAGATGACTTCATCCTGGGCCCTTCCCAGGCCGGGGCAGTGAGGCGGAGTGGCTCGGCTGGGACCCCACCGAGGACGCCTGGCTCTGACTGAGCACTGCCACCTACCTGCTGTGCTGTGTGCCCTTGAGTACAGTATCTAAGCACTCTGGGCTGCTCTTGGTCCAACAAGAATCCCATGGGAGATGGTGGCAGGGATGGCAGGGGACAGTGCATGGGGCACGAGGCGAGAGGCCCTGGGTAAGAGTTAGCAATGGCTGACCCTCAGCCTCTGCTTCTCTGTGGAGTTCAGAAGTACCCCCAACCCCAGTTCTCCTGAAGCCCCCAGAAGAATAGAAGCGCTCTTCGGAAACGTTCTCCGAAAGGTAGAGCTGGGGACAAGTGTTTGGGGCCAAGCCAGTGAGGCACAGAGCCCTGGGCCAGGGCTCTCTCCCCAGCACTCCACACAGAGCCCATGACGGAGTCTGGCCCTCAGTTTTCCGGTCCGTGGCTCTGAAGCCCACTGGGCCTCCCAGCCCCCCCCCCCCTTCTGCTCCCTCTGCTGCTCTGGCTGTCAAGTGTGCTGGGAGGAGCCTTTGGGGCTGATTTATCTGCCACGAAGGGCCCAGCAGCAGCCATCTGGCTGGGGAGCAGCTCCAGATTCTTCTGTTCCTTCCTGAGCAGTAACAAAGAGAGGAGCCCAGTGCATAGGAGGCCCCCTGCGCCCCAGCCCTGCTAACATCTGGAGCCCAGTGCCTTTGCCAAACAAGCATGAGCTTGCCTGATGAGGGCTCCCTGCTTAGAAGACTCCTCAGATTGTGCTCTGGAGCCCCCAGGCCATTGCGGGGTCCAGAAGTTCTTGCCCTCAGGCCTGGCCCTTCAGGGGTCTGGTCTTGCAAGAGGGCCAGCCCCCCAATACCCTAGTGATGGTGTGCTTACAGGACAGGCCCCATGGCAGCTGCCACTGGTGGGTCACTTGCTCTCTGTCCCATGTCCCAGCCCTCTCCGTGGTTCAGTGGCCTGAACTGCTGGGCACCTTCCTTCCACTAGAACACCCTAGAAGGGACTCTTCATGGTGGTTGCAACACAGTAGCGGGTGTGACTTGTCTGGGTGATTGCTGACTGGGGCTGCCACCACCCCCCAGCAGCGTTTCTGGATTATAGCTTCCTCCTGACTCCTGAACAGGCCCGGCTCCAGGGGAGGAGGACAGTGGTCACAGAGTGGCTTCTCTGCAGCTGAGAAAGCCGCCTCGCTTGGTTGACCAGCTTCTGTCCAGCTCTCCAGCTGGGATTCTATGGCTGCTGTCCTCTCCCCATCCACCCCCGCATGAATGAATGACTGTCCCCATTCTTCAGCCAAGACAGGTGGGACCTTTTCAAGAGACACATTACTTAGAAAGTCAGGCAAAACAGAGGAGCGAGTAGTTCCAAGTGTAAACACGAACGAGTTTTCAGAACACAAAATTCTTCTCCCGTGATAATTGAAACTTCGCCATAAATTTCTGGGCACAGATGTTCTATTTCAGTCTGAACAAAATACATTCATTTTTGAAATCTCAGGCAATTCTTTCAATTCCCGTCATTCCCTCTCCTTTTCGGGAAGATCACATGTAGATAGAGCTGAAGGAGTATGATTTAGAGCAAGGAAGGCCAATAGGTAGCACACAAGACCCTGCTTTCTAGTTCCATACCCCTGGCAGACATTGCTAATCAATCTTGGAACTTTTCCCAATTGAGGCTGAATGTGGCTTTGCATTACTTCTTCAAACTGCATTCCAGGAGGCCATTTCTGATTGGCTGGAGTTGGCAGGCCACAGTCGATCACGATGCTTGCTCAGGTATATATTGAAGTCATGGCAAACTTGTTTCTTGTAAATGACTTTTACTTAAAACAATTACTATGACAAAATCCAAAGACCTAGAAAAGTACATAGACCATACCCGCCAACTCGATTCGGCAATTGTTACCATGTTTGCTCTCCTTGTTTTTATTTATCTCTAGAGTTTTTGTGGCATCGCGGCACTGTACATAAATCATTGAGCATGGATTGAAAAAACATGGTCCCCAGCATCATCCACCACACTTCCTAATACAATTAATAACAGTTTCTTGGCATCACCTAATGCCCAGGGCATCTTTAAGTTCCCCTGCTTGTCCTCAAAATGCTTTTTTACACATTCCGTCAAGTCCGGGTTTACTCAAGTGCGGTGCATTTCATCTAGTTGCTGTCTGCAACATCTCCTTACATCTGGACTCGCCGCTCTTTCCTTGTGACACCAAGTTGGTGAAGAGGCAGCAGTGTGGACCACACCCCACGCTGTGGATTCATCAGCTTCTTCCTTACGGTGTCATTGAAGTCTTTAGCCCCGCCCTCCCCCCTAAACCGGGGGACAGTCTGTTTCGGACTTTCTCCTGCCTCATCTCAGGAGGCGAGGAACATCTGAGAGTCCCTACTGTCACTGATGGCCAGCTTGTTTACTAGGCGAAGGCGGCGACAGCCTGCTTTAGCGCAGGAAGGCCAGGTTTCCCTTCGTGACTCTGGTGGCCCGTGGGGGAGTGCGCTGGCTCGGCGTGGGCATCCAGCCTCCCGTCAACCCTTCATCTCAAGGCTGTGGTATCCACCGAGGACCTTGCCTGAAATGATTATTTCATTAAGAGTTGCAAAATGATGATTCCCTAATTGCATCATTCTTTCCACATTTATTAGTGGGCACCCCTCCAAGAACCTTTGCTCATCGAGAAGGCTGACTTGGTTCCTCTAAAGTACAATTTCCATGGGAAAAGCCAATGGCCAAGTCACGCTCGGTCATTCTCTTTAATGAACAAGTTACCTCCAGTGGGGCAGCGCCGTTTTAGTGTCTGCAATTCCGCCTTCCCTTGTCTATCTGTGGACACGTGAGTTACGTAACTCAACGTGCTTCAGTGGATGGCAGCGGTTATTCTCTTTGGGGCTCTAGCTGTCTCAGGTGTAGGCAGTGCGAGCTCTTCAAGCTCAGCGAGATACCGTTTTAGACTAGATTAAGAGTGGTCATGTGGGGTCCGTGCAGCCCTGGCGGATCTTGGAGGAGTCAGACCCCAAATGTATACCGAAGTGGGGTGGTGCTTTTGGCAGAGGGGCCCTACCGTTCGTCTGGGTCCCCATGGAGCTTGTCCCAGACGTGAAGGATTTCAGAATGAATAAGAAACTATAGAGACCAAGGACTTGAGATTTCCCAGCACGGAGAAAAGTCAGTCCACTAATTCTCAGCCTCTGTGGATCAAGAACAGCCCCGGAGTCTTTGTGGCAGATCTGGTCAGTCCTGCGTGGAGGACCCAGCAGCCTGGGCCTGGGGAAGACCAGCTCTCTAAGGTTCACCTGTGTGTAAGAGGCACCAAGAGGGCTTCCTGGAGGAGGTGGTGTTGCTGTTGAGTTTAGTCAGGTTGGAGGCGAGGGCGCGTCCTCTCAGCAGAGAGAGGGCTGTGTGCTTGCTCCTCCTCTCCAAGCCGAGTCCTTAGGATGCCTTGGTTCAAGGATCACAGCTCCTCCTCTGAAGCCAGAGGGTAACCACATTGACTCAACAGGGTATAGGACAGAGAGTGAGTGGCCCTGGGTAACCATGGGGGTGATTGGAGAGTCAGCACAACTGGCAGCTATTTAGGGACCTGCCTCAGGTGGGAGACACGGGCGAGGCATTGTGGGCACCTGTTGGCCTCAGTGTCCCACACTCACCTCCCAGGTTCTGAAGTGGGTGGAGTCGGCCATCCAGGCCTCCAAGGTGCACCTGCTATCCACGGACCATGAGGAGAAGGGCGAGCACACGTGGAGAATCCCCTTTGACCCCAGCCTGAAGGAGGTCACCATCTCGCTGAGTGGGCCAGGGCCTGAGATCGAGGTTCGAGACCCGCTAGGTATGTGCCAACCTTGCCAGCCACCTCTTTAGCCCCAAGATAGAGCTGGAAACCCAGGATGGACAAAGAAAGAGATTCAGGGTTGCAGGGAGTCCAGACCCAGGGCTCCAGGAATAAGGGAGTGGGACGGCTCAAACGGAGAGCAGAGAGGGCCCCATGGTGGGCCAGGCACAAGAGGGGGAATGATGGAAGCCCCTGGGCTGGGGCTGTCATTGTATGTCCCACGTCACCTTGGTGTACTCCACGGAGGCAGCAATTCATAGCACATTGTACTGATAGGGCTGGAATGCAGGGATGTAGAGTCCTCATCCGGGTCAGTGGAGAGGTGGGGCCTGATTTGGACCCAGTCACCTGGCCCCATGAAGATCTGAGGACGTTGTGAACGTCAGGCGTAGAGGCCGGGTGACAGCCTGCACCCGGGAGCGACAGCAGTGGGATGCGGGACGAGAACTACCGAGGGAGGCCTGAGGCTGGTTTGGGTGGGAGTGAGTTCCTAGAGATCGGGAGACCCCTGTGTCCCAGGGAAGGGCTGGGGGCTGAACAGTCCTTGGGGCCTCCACAGGGAGGGTCCTGCAGAAGGACGAGGGCCTCAACGTGCTCCTCAACATCCCCGACTCAGCCAAGGTCGTGGCTTTTAAGCCAGAGCATCCTGGGCTGTGGACCATCAAGGTAGGGGCTCTGGGTGGTGGGGGCCGCCGGGGGCATCTCCTTCCCGCTTGCTCTGGGGAGTCCTGGGGCTTTGGGAGGCCGAGGGCTAGCATGTGGGCGTGCCAGCGGAAGTAGAGTCAGGAGCAGAGGAGGACGACTCTGCTGTGCGCCAGTGACAGGAAGTGGAGTGAGTAGCAGTTTGGAAGCATCTAAGAAGGACTGGGGGCCAACAGGTGGTGTGGAGGTTAAAGCGCTGGGTCTCATGTGACTGGCTGTGCAGTTTGAGTCCTGGACCCAGTGGCTTTTGGAAATGCTGGGGCCTCGGGGGGGGCCCCGAAGGCCT